TGGCTGCGTGATGTTCGGCGATAGAGTCCTCGTTCCCAACATGTTTCGACGAAGGATCCTGCAACAATTCCACCGTGGTCGTCCAGTAATGGTTCGTATGAAGGCAATTGCAAGAAGCCCGGTATGGATAACGAGATCGAGGAATTCGTCAAACGCTGCTGTTCCACAGCTGGTAAAGCTATGACGAAAACGACACTAGAATCGTGGCCCATTCCAAGTAAACCCTGATCACTGGATTCACATCGACTACGCAGGACCTGTATATGGTGTCTACTTTCTGGAGGTGGTCGACCCGCACTCCAAGTGGCCTGAGGTGCACGTAACCAAATCGACAACAGCGAAAGCCACCATCAAACTATTGAACCAGTCATTCGCTACGTTTGGTGTACCCGAGATAATCGTATCCGACAATGGCACTCAGTTTTCAGGACACGAATTCCAAGTATTCTGCACCAACCTCGGTATTCGGCACAACCGCACCCCACCTTACCATCTACAATCCAACGGTTTGGCTTAAAGATTTGTTGAAACCGTGAAAAGAAGCCTTTGGAAAATTCGTTCGGATGGAGTAGAAACGCTTGACTTTTTGGCTGGTAAACAGTAGTTAAGAATTTTCTCACCACGTGGCATTAGTATACATGTACACTTCTCACAAATGCTATATCTTGAGATCCTGATCAGATAGAAAGTTACTGTCTACGACAAAGTTGTTCAGGAGGTCAAGGTCTTTTGGCTGGCGAACAGTAGTTCAGAATTTTCTCACTGCGCTGCGTTAGTATACACGTGCAATCGTCATATATTCTACAGCTCGAGATCCCGAACAGCTAGAAAATTACTGTCTTCGGCAAAGTTGTTTAGGAGATCAAAGCTTTTGGTGAACAGTAAATATTTCAGAATATTTTCGGTATGCGGCGCTAGTGTGCATGTAAAATATTTGTATATGCTAAAGCTTAAGGTCAGGAACTAACTCTCATTTACGTCTACTTTTAGTTTCAATTTTTTTCCAAGTCAATTCTGAGAAAATCAATCATGATTCTTCAGAATAAATTTATAGAAATAGTGTAACTTTGGGTGAACCTTTGGTATACAAAATTAAAAAATGATATTGAGCAATATGCCTCTTTGTATTTTCATTCAAAATCTTTAAAATGTTCTAAAAAGAACGAATATTGGAATTTTTAGTGCGTGTCCATAAACTTATGTTTTTTTTTTTTTTTAGACCCCTCGATAAGACATTTTGAAATTATCCTTAAATGAAAGGGAGACTCTAAACATTCATATGGTGGAAGTTTCGGCAATATTGATCTTTTAAGATAATGTTTTCCGTCTGAGATACGTGTTACAACTAATTTATCAGAGGTATACAAGTGGAACGACTCAACCCAATTTAGGTCTCCACAAATCTGCATGAAAATCTTCACCAGCAAAAGAAATCCAGAATATATTTGTCTTATCCCACTTAGGCTGATGTAAATTGTATTTTTATTTTATGATATTTGATATGCGAGAATTGCCCGCCAAGTTTTGAGAAATTTCTGAACTACTCTTCATAAGCCAAAAGATCTTTATCTACTTAACAGCTTTTCCAAATACAGTAAATATCTAGCTGTTCAGGATCTCGAGATGTTATATATGCGAAGATTTCACGTATATCCTAGCGTCAAACTTTGCCCAAGACAGTAACATTCTATTTGGTCAGGATCTCGTGATATTTTATATGTAAAAATTTCACGTGTATACTAGTGCCGCTTAGGGAACTCTCAACTATTGTACACCAAGCAATAGGCTTTGACCTCCTGAACAACTAGCTCGAGATATTTTATATGAGAATTTCACGTGTGTTCTAGCGCCGCGTAGTGAAAAAAATTCTGAACTACTATCCACCAGCCAAAAATACTTGTCCCCCTGAACAAGCGCCGCGTATTGAGAAAATTTTGAACTATTGTGCACCAAGAAATAGGCTTTGGTCTCATCAACAACTTTGTCGACGATAGTAACTTTCTATCTGGTCATGATCTCGAGATATATCACATGCGAGAATTACACATGCATTCTAGCGCTACGTAGTGAAAAAATTCTGAACTACTCTCCACCAGCGAAAAGGTTACAATCTCTAGAACAACATTGCCGAAGACAGTAACTTTCTATCTGGTCAGGATGTTCCATGTTGTAACCAATGAAGTCAAATCCCATGTAGTACGGACACCGTTTACGCGGTTTCCATTAACATTTTCTCTATTATCCGCATTTTTGGGAGTTAACTGTGATAAAAATTTAGCTTGTTTAGTTAAACACAAGTTTAATAAGGAATACCCGTTGGTTTCATATCGATTTGTAGCTCGGCTGCAAAATGACAATGGAAAACTCACACTGTTGTACAAAGTACTCATGTTACAAAAGTTGGCGCGAGTAACGGAGGTGTCTGCGAGTACCATCCTAAAACACACCATCTCAACCGACCAGCAGTACGGCAGACTGTTGTTTTGGATGTCCTTTGTTTCGCCAATCGGTCGACGGTCAGCCAGATGAACAAGGGAGATCACTTTCCCTTTCGATGGCACATACATTGACGTCATCGATGCAACCGATGGATCGGTAGCCGATAGCTGGTGAGCGCGAGAGAATTTCGGTGAAGATGTATTTTGTATATGTATAAATTCACCACAGATTGTTTGGTTCAGGTTTTGTTTTAGGAGTAGTGGCAGGTCAAAATTAGTGTTAAGTAATACAAGGTCGAAGACGGTCCTGCGTGACCAATTTAGTGTTAAGAGAAATGTAAATAAATGTAATTTGGTAGAGTCCTGTTAGTAAAGAGTTGTGTTAAATGTAAAAAGAGTGTTTTCTGTGCTGTGGCCATTACGGAAGAATCACCATCACCTCATCGAACATCCCAACCCATCCAGCGAGCTATCAACCGGTCCAGGTATCCTACAGGAGGGTTAAGAAGAGTTTACAGCATGGCGATTTGGTGTATGTCAAGATTCATCAAGCAAATTCTTGGCAATGGGAACCAGCGACGGTCATCGAGAAGGTGGGTAACGTTATCTACAACGTTTTTCTCGGAGATAGGCATAGGTTGATCCAATCGCATGCTAACCAGATGAAAAGTCGAGTTCAAGAAACCAGTCCATCAGAACATTCGGCGCCACTTTCGGTTTTCTTCGACGAGTTTGGATTGACCGTTCCAGCACCAGCCATTCCTCCAGAAGAACCTGCAACAACACCGCGTTTAGAGGAACAACTTTTGGACGACTCAGAAATTCTAGAGTTAACGGATTCAGATTTCTCCAATCAAGCATTAGACGCCGAATCTGAAGATATTGACGATCCGTTTCAAACACTACTGGATGACAAAACCTTAGGAGGAAAATGTTGCAATGTAGCAATCACTGGAACACTATATAAACGGTGCAATTGACAAGTATTGATTAATCGTAGTTAGGTAGGTTATCACTTTTTTCAATTCAAATAAAACACATCCCCAAAGGGATATTCTGTAAACTAGTTGAAAAACGCAAATATTAAATTAGAATATCAAATTAAACAAAGATGAAGAGCCAAGTAGGCTAATCAATTAAAATGATAAATCAATGTACTACCATAATCAACAGAAATAAACATAATTTTACTACTACTAAGAATTGATTAATGATACGTTAGACCTTGAATAAAGAAACATCTCTAGTATTTATCAAGCTATCTTTCTATTCTGAAATTAGGTATTTAAAAAAAAATTAAGGAGAAAAATATTTTCTTAGATCATTTATATACATTTTTGTTTTTTTTTTTTTAGAAAACAATCAAAATGTAAATTTTTTGCCACGACTGTAAGCCGCGCGGCCCTATTTATACTTGAATCAGTTGCAAAATGCACATAATTTTCTAGTTTACCGAAAAAAATATTCTTGAAAACGCCATGAAAACGCTCTCTACTATGCACCACCACCCAAATTGACACTAATAAAGTCCCATAAATTCCGTTACACCCAAAAAAAACTCTCAACTTATCATTGTCACTTACATATTAAAACTTCCCCAAACGAAACCAATTAGTCCACACATTGCCAAACCCGACGACAGACGTCCGAAACTGGTCAAACCCTTTTCTCCTTCTTCTCCCAAAATAACATACTTTTGCTTTTCAGTCCCCGCAAAACCGAATCAAATTTTTCTCACATTAGAGATGAAACAACAAAGCTTTTTGACTTGGCACCATCCCGAGCGAGAGGACACCGAAAAAATGGGAAACTCATATCATAAAAGAACAACAGCAGCCCATGATGCGACTCTGCAGTGTACCGTCTGTTTACTTTCACCGAAAAAGAATCGTTTCTTGTACATTTTTGACATCAAGGTTCTGCCTCCCGTTCCCGAGGAAGAGAGCTGAGCAGTTGGTGGTTACATCAGAACTTTTTTTGTCCGACGACCTGAAGATGCTCTTTCCGCGCGCCGTACATGTGTGTCCCATATATGCCGAGAGTAATCTCCATGCAGGCTGAGAGAAGGCAGATGTTTGGAATATGATTTATGCTTTGTATCTGGAAGCTGGAGTGTTTTTCTTGTCACTGAAAGTGTACCCTTTGCTCTCGCTTGCATTGCTGCTTGTTGGACCAGATCTGGGAAGCGAGATGGCAACGATTTTCACAAATTAGGAAAAATTGATGTTTTGATAACCCCGAACCCTGTTCATTTGCTAAATGGTGGGGAAGGGTCCACCAGACAATTAACGTTGCCAAGCTGGCTATCAATCAAGCTGTGCCTTTGATTTGGAACGTATATACGATGAAGCAGCCCAAGGCGAACCGCTTTCCATAAAGCGACTGGGTACACACACACGGACGCATGATTCGATTACTGTGGTGTGCTATACCAGCAGTCTGATCAGGTGTGTCTCCTCCCGTTATGGAAGAAACGATCCTTCAAATCGGTATGATATTTTCATTAACTTAGTCGCGAACTTACAATTTTTTTATAATGAATCTTAACAAACGTGTACTAACCTGCATTGATTGTCGATGTAAACAGCAGTAGCGGCAGTGCGAGCGCGGCTGTCAGCATCCACACTGATAACACCCGACGTGACCTGTAGGGTCTCGATCTGGGGCACTGCACGGTACGCATCATTGCGTACCGCGGGCATTGCGACGTCGTTCTAGCCGCTGTTATTGTTGATGTTGTCGTTGAAATCCGTTGCCTTCTTAGATCACCATCGTCATCTTCGAGCAAATAACGGTCCTCCTCGCATCGGGCCATCGTCGTGGCTGTTCTGGTTGCTAGTAGATCAAGTCGCTCCAGCAGTCGTTCATGAGCTTCCATTTTCGCACGGTTCTACTGTGCACGCTTCCCTTCCTGTCGATTACTCATCGCTGTGAATATTTTTGCAAATGCTTTTTTTTCTTTAATCGATCTGAGCTGAACTGTGCGGAACTTGCGCGAATCGAAACTCTGATGCCCCTATATGTATTGGGCCGGCTAATAAACTACGCGCACAAACAAAAACAACCAAGGTGCACATTCACGATTCAGTGGTCCGACCGAGGGTGATGAGTTTCACACCCGTTATCACTCTTATCAGAGGTGCGCGCCGAGAAGTGTTGAGAAATCCTCGTAGGTTGTTTACTTAAATTCACCACAGACGCGATAGCATAGATAATACTGCCTGAAGGTACAACACCAAATGCTCCGTTGCTTGCCTTTTTTTTGCTTTGTTATTTGAATATGTATACCAAGCACTAGCACGTACTTCGTAATGGAACCCGTTATAGCTTATAAGCACACTCTATTGCTCTAGAATACACCTAAAGATAAATTACTTGCACTTGAGATAGGTGATGTTTGCGAATGGATTTTCTTCCTCAGATACACTGGACACTGAAACGAAGAGAAAAGATAAAGACGTTTGTTTAGTATTGAGCAATTGGAGGCGATAATTAAAGTACGTCTGGGTATTTTGGTGGGTATAATTTGTTTGATGAATGGTGCAATCTTAGTTGGTATGAGACAATTTTTGTCTCTGTATTTTTGAAGGCAATATTTCATCAGCACGAACTCATTAGGAATAGAGATAATAATTTAGCTACGTTGGTTCCATCACGCACATGAGCCATGCGGAAATAAGAATCCTACTGAGGATGCTAGATGTAACCGCAGAGTTTCAGATCAATCTAGAATCTAAATGCTATTCATACATTCTTGGATAATCATGGAAAATTCACACCATTTGCGCCTATGCATATGGATGATTTATTGGGTCACATGAATAAAAAGTAGAGGAACTGTGGAAAAAACGGACAGTGGGGGTAAGATGGACAGCTGATTATTTGACGGCTCAGCTATAGAATTATTGGGATTTGTCACATCCACCCTTAGTTTACGATATTTGATTTATTTCAGAATACACAACTTGGCATCGGAGCTGTCAAATGTGAAAACATAAACAAAACAAAAATTGCTCTTGCGGTTATGTCGATGTGAAATTTCTATGGTTGTTTGGTGGATTGTTTCTTAACGGGTGTATTCGATAAAAATGGCACACAGCAAAAATAAACCGATTATCGGATTTTCTTGAAATTTTCAGGGAATGCAAAACTAGTAATGAGTTATGATTTCAGGGTTGGTAGCGATCACTGCTGTCAAAATAGTGATTTTAGTGACCATGTTGAAGAAATAAGTAACGAAATAGTGACTTATAGTTGTAAAAATAGTGACTAAAAAGTTACCTAAGAGAAGAAAAGTAGTCGTTAAGATGGCACATCAAATAAATGTTTGATGTTTTAGACTTATTCAATTAGTTACTAATACTAATAGTATTAGTATTAGGAGTGAAAATTTAATTCGCGTTGATCTATTGTTAGGGTTTTGTACACGGAGTGACTTGAAAAAAAAAAAAAAAAAAAAAAAGCTACAACAAATTTAAACAGCACTTTTCAGTGCTCAACCTGTAAAAATTTTCTACCTTGTTCAACTCTTATTCCTCTTCGATCCTTGTTTGGACCCTACCCGAGGTAATCCTTCTTGGATATCGATTTGGAAAATTCCTCTTCGATCCTTCAGATTCTTATAGTAATCTGCTTGGAAGTCGATCGCCATGGCGCCTAAACGCAAAAGAAAGGGGCAAACTCTTGACCCCCCTTCTGTTGAAATTAATTTGAGTAATCAATTTGATTTGCTCACGGATGATGAGAATGATCCATCATCCAAGAAAAATTCTAGTAAACTTTCCCGGCTTAATGCCAAGAAGGAAAAGATTCCCCCTATTGTGATAACCACTACCGATTTCCATGCTCTTCGCATGGAACTTTTGAATTTCGTGAAAGTTAAGTTTTCACTACAAATTGGACGTCGGGGTGAATGCCGTGTATTGGCTGAAACCTTGGACGAATTAAAATGTCTTCTCAAGTATCTTACTGAGAAGAAGCACAATTTTTTTACTTACGACACCAAAACTGAACGTGTGTTCAAGGTTGTCATGAAAGGACTGCCCAGTGGTGAATCCCTGGATCAGATCAAAGATGAACTGGCAAAATTACTTGGAGTTGTGCCACTCCAAGTAATCAAAATGAAAATGAAATCCCGTCCTGGCGATTCGCGCAACGGGATTTCTAATGATTTTTATTTAGTTCACTTCAAGTCTAGTGAACTAAACAACCTTAAGGCCTTAGAAAAAGCTAGCCTTATGCTCCATGTCCGAGTGAAGTGGGAACACTTCAGGAAGACTGGAGGAAATTTCCAAAACCTCACTCAGTGCCGTAAGTGCCAGGGATGGGGTCACGGAACTAAAAATTGCTACATGCCAGCTAAATGCATGAATTGTGGTGATTCCTCTCACGCAAAGGACGACTGTCCTGTGAAGGAAGATCCTAAGAAATTTAAATGTTCAAATTGTGGTGAAAACCACAAATCCAATTTTTGGGAATGTAAGACTCGCAAAGCGATCCTACAATCTCGTTCTAACCGTCAGGTAGGAAACACTCCACGTTTCCGACCAGGTACAAATTCCTCTGCTGTTAACAACGGTCAGCGAGGAACAAATTCTACATTCGTACCCGTAGGTACAAATATCTCCCCTGCTTCAAATGTTTCATCTGTACCTACTCCCCTCGCTGCTAACAATGTTCAGCGAGTTAATGGAGCTACCTATGCTGCTATTGCAGCGGGTAGAAATCAAAATACTAACCAACGTTCTAACGGAAATTTTGACAATTTTGACTTAGGAAGCATTACTGCCCCCAAAATGGAATTTTTACAGAATTCATTAATTGACATGATTTCTGATATGCTTAAATCTAACTCCATGTTTGATGCTATTCAAACTGGAGTAAAATTTGCAAATAATATTGTCATGACTTTAAAATTCAGTAATGGATTTTAAAGCATTAAATATTGTAAATTGGAATGCTCGATCTCTTAAAGATAATGAAGACGAGCTATTTAACTTTTTGAGAGTTCATAACGTGCATATTGCCGTTATAACTGAAACGTTCCTTAAACCTGCCCATAAGGTTAAGAAGGACGCAAATTACTTGATTTATAGAAATGATCGTCTTGATGGACCCTGTGGTGGCGTTGCCATCATTATTCATAGACGAATCAAACATAAAATTCTTTCTTCATTTGAAACCAAAGTTTTTGAAACTTTGGGAGTTTCTGTTGAAACAAAATTTGGACAACTTACGTTTATAGCTGCCTATTTGCCATTCCAATGCGTAGGCCAGAAAAAGAATTTTCTCAAGGGTGACCTCCAGAAACTTACCCGTCATAGGTCTAAATTCTTCATTATTGGTGATTTTAATGCAAAACACCGCTCATGGAATAATGCTCAAAGCAATTCCAATGGTAATATTCTGTTTGATGATTGTTCTGCAGGTTATTACACTATTCAATATCCAAACAGCCCAACATGCTTTTCTTCTGCAAGAAATCCCTCAACTATTGATTTGGTCTTAACTGATTCATGTCATCTTTGTAGCCAAATGGTTACCCATGCTGACTTCGGTTCTGATCACCTTCCAGTAACTTTTGAAATATCCCAAGAAATAATTTCTAATCCCAACAGCTCTACTTTCAATTACCATAGGGCTGATTGGGAGCAATATCGAACATTTATGGAATATAACTTCGATCCTAACATTCCTTTGCAAACCAAAGATGAAATTAATTATGCTCTTGAATCTCTGACTACTTCTATAGTTGAAGCAAGAGCTGCCTCAGTACCAAAATGCGAGATTAAATTCGATTCAATTATAATAGACGATGATCTTCAGCTCTTGATCCGTCTTAAAAATGTCCGTAGGAGACAATATCAAAGAACACGCGATCCTGCCATGAAAGTTATCTGGCGGGATTTGCAAAAACAAATTAAAAAGCGATTCTCTGCCCTGAGGAACAAAACTTTTGAAAATAATATTTCTAAATTAGACCCGAGTTCCAAACCCTTTTGGAAACTCACAAAAATTTTGAAAAAACCTCAAAAGCCTATTCCAGCGCTTAAAGAAGGTGGTAAAATTTTGATCACAAATTTGGAAAAAGCTCAGAAACTTGCTAAGCAATTCGAGAGTTCCCATAATTTCAGTTTGGGTCTTACTAGTCCTATTGAGAATCAGGTTGCTCGGGATTATCTGAATATTTTCTCTCGGGAAAATATTTTTGATGATTCCTGGGGGACTGATTTGGACGAAGTAAGGTCTATAACTAAAAAGTTTCAAAATATGAAAGCTCCAGGTGATGATGGAATTTTCTATATCCTCATCAAAAAACTCCCAGAGAGTACCTTGTCTTTCTTGGTAAAATTATTTAACAGATGTTTCCATTTGGCATACTTTCCTGATAAATGGAAAAATGCAAAAGTTGTTCCAATTTTGAAGCCGGATAAAAATCCAGCTGAAGCTTCTAGCTACCGTCCAATAAGTTTGCTTTCTTCAATAAGTAAACTTTTTGAAAAGATAATTTTGAATAGAATGATGCTTCACATCAATACGAACTCAATTTTTGCAGATGAGCAGTTTGGATTTCGCCATGGGCATTCAACTACTCATCAACTTAAGAGTTAACAATTTAATTCGTTCAAACAAATCTGAAGGCCACTCAACTGGAGTTGCTCTTCTAGACATAGAAAAAGCATTCGACAGTGTTTGGCATGAAGGTTTGATTGCTAAATTGAAAAAGTTTAATTTTCCACTTTACATTATGAAATTAGTTCAAAATTATTTAACTGACAGAACTCTTCAAGTAAATTATCAAAATTCCAAATCTAATCGACTACCTGTTAGAGCAGGAGTTCCTCAGGGTAGCATTCTTGGGCCTATATTGTATAACATTTTCACTTCGGACCTCCCTGATTTGCCTCAGGGTTGCCACAAATCTTTGTTCGCTGATGACACAGGCATTTCCGCTAAAGGAAGAAGTCTCCGTGTTATTTGCAGCAGACTTCAGAAAAGTTTAGATATTTTCTCTTCTTATTTACAAAAATGGAAGATTTCTCCCAACGCTTCCAAAACTCAACTTATAATATTTCCACATAAGCCCAGGGCTTCCTTTTTGAAACCTAGTAGTAGTCACGTAGTCACTATGAACGGAGTTCCAATTTCCTGGTCAACCCAAGTGAAATATCTTGGATTAATACTTGACCATAAATTAACTTTTAAAGATCACATTGAGGGCATTCAAGCCAAATGTAATAAATATATAAAATGTTTGTATCCTCTTATAAACAGGAAATCCAAACTTTGCCTGACGAATAAACTTCTAATATTTAAACAAGTTTTTAGACCGGCCATGCTTTACGCTGTGCCAATATGGTCTTGTTGTTGCACTACCAGGAAAAAAGCACTTCAAAGGATTCAGAACAAAATTCTGAAGATGATTTTGAAGTT